TTATCGCTCGATTATCATTTCAGGTGTGATTAATCGTGGCTCAAATCTCGCGTTAAGCGCAAAAGAAATCACGTTACTCGCTCCGTTTGCGTAACTTTCAGAACTCAACTGTCCATAATCGAAACATATGTGTAATTATCGTGACCGTGAGTGACCTCCGCTGTCCCTCGTTAAGAGGCGATCGTATGCTGTCTAAACCGCCGTAAGAAATGCCTAAAAAGTCGCCGGAACGGCACCAAGTAGATTAGTCTAATAAGAGCCGGTTTATTCTGTCGCAACTTGAGCTCTCCGCTTCCAAGCTCGACCACGGGACTGCGTCCTTGGCCTTGGAGCCGCATCAAGCCGCGACGGAAGACAAATCGTACTGATAGAGGGACGAAGCGCGCGGCGGCTGATGCGCGACCGGCTGCAGATGAAGACGTTTGCGCGTCGACTGATTAGCGCTCGCGTGTATTGTTGTATATCGCGTACACCGCGTACGGAGGCCGAGGGCCCACACAAGTGGGTCTGGTACGCATTAATGCATCCAATCCTCGCGCTTCGATATTACTTAAAGTATTTCCTTCTCCGGCGTCGACGTCTTTCTTTTCCTTTACCTCCCCCCCCCTATCTTTCCTTCTTTCTCCGTCTTATCGTTCCACGTCTCATTCGGTCGAGCCTTACCGCCCGTGAATGGGCCGGTGAATAATTAGCCCACCATCCCCCTTTCTCCCCCTTTTCCCTCGACGTCGCTCGATCGACGCGCGCGAATCGAATAAATCTCTATCGTCTTAATTGAGGAAGCCGGCGCGGAAAGTACATTCGCACGGTGGACAAAGGCCCCGTTGTTTATAACGAAATTAATTGGCGTCCGTTCGTTGTTTTGCCGCTAATTACACGTGATTTATCCGCGACGGTAGCGACGCCAATTGAATGATAATGTACCCGAGAGAGGTACGTACGCAACCCCCTCCCTCCACCCCCCCCCCCACTCCCACGGTAGTTCCCTTTCGACGCGCGAAGACGCGAAATCGTGGGCAATTTAATCCCGCGATTTGATTACCGAGCAGGTGGATGAGCGCGACTTATCGTCTCCTTTTATAATACTGCCATTACAACGCGCGCGGAGCCTTAATGGGACGCGGAATGTGGCAACTATAAAGTATTATATTACAGCAGTGCTGCCGCTGGTGTTTTTTTCACCCCCCCCCCCCCGCCCGAGCCGCGATAGTAATACGTGTCATTTTAAAAATCGCGACAAGTTTTCCCGGCGGCGAGAAACGTCCACTTGTCTCGTATCTGCGAGATACCACTGGGGGGAGGGGGGGGGGAGGGAGTTTAAATTAAATTAGAAGGTGTACGTCGCGCGTGATAATTAAGAGCGCATCCTCCGATGTGCGATACGTCCCTCGTGATTCTTCGCACTTCTCCACTTTTCGTCCTTATTTATGCTCGGCGAGAATAGAATATCGCGGCGATCGTGACGCCGCTTATCATCGCGAATAATCATCGCGCTTTATTTCGAGGCGCGCGTAACTAATCTGCGACTCTAAACGGCGCTGCCATTAATGGCCGCGGTTATACAGAAGAGAGAATGGAGCTTCCATCTCGCCCCGTCTCCTTCCCGGCGTTCCGATCGATATAAATTACCGCTGCTCCGTGCAAAGATCAGATCCTCATCTTCAACAGATGGAGAGGATTAGCGATATTAGCGAGAGAAATCGGCTTCGCAGTGGCGCTATCATCAGCTCCCGACTTACTTCTCTCTGTGTTTTCATTCTTTCTCGCGGATCCCCTCGCGGTACGGAGAGGAAGAGCTTTCTCACATCGGGGGGATACATGGAAGAAAGACTGTTTCTCCGCTTTTCTCTCTTCATCCCCCTCGGCCCCGCATCGCCCGGTCTCACTTCCTCGCCCGTCTCTCTTTCGCACCGCTCTCCGTCGCTCTCTCGCGTCTTCTCACGTCTGGCCGGCACCATCTATCATTCTGTCAGCTAGGAGATTTCAATTTGCTCTCTTTTTGCGCCATTACCGGGCCCCGCGGCCCGCGCAAAATTGTATTTAATTGTGATTGACTGCTAAGTGGAGGTGGCCGGCCGCCACCATTTGTCCGCGCGATTTTTGCATATCCCTAATTGCGCGAGAGGTGCGTCGCGAGCTGAATCGCGGCCGAATGAGATTATTCCAGTCACGCGTCGTCTTACATACGCGCCGCGGGAAAAAAAGGACGCCGCGCTATACGGTCGATCGAAGCGAGAGTCGATTGTAATCCGGCGGGTATTTGGCCTCTCGGATTAGAGGATCCTAACGCTCGGCCAGTAATTAGCCGCGCAACAGGATACATCAGGAAATATAGAGAATTAGTTATTATCGCGGTATTATCGCGGACCGTAATAAGCTTGCTGATGACTGTGGTTAATCTGACAACGGATACAAACAGCGTCGATGCCGCGGATATTGATAAGTTGACTCGATATTTTCTCGTTTCTTACACTTCGCTAATTAACACGTACGGTTTGTTGAACGTGTAATCTATGCACTTAAGGCGATTAACAGTTGAGCCACGGTCCCTCTCGGGATAATTTATAATTACGTACAATTATTTTAATAATTACCATTGAGCAGTAGTAGCTACGGGCGAATAACTCAGGTAACACGGGGCGAGTGTAATGCTAAGCGTGTTTCTCCGAAAAAACCCGCGAAAGATCGCGTGGAGCTCGCCCGCGAGCGGAAGAAAAGTACGCGCGAACAAAAACGCGCCGATTGTGCAATGTAATTTCTTTTTCCACTCCCCGTCTTCAGCGAGCCTTGCTCTAGGAACCATTTTTCACGGATTTGCGTCTCCACTTCTCTTCCCGGAGTTTTCCGTTAAAGGAAAAATGCAGATTTTTAGAAATCCCACTTTCCTCGAGGGCGCCATTAATGGGGCCTTTTTGGAGACCAACTCCTCAATTGATACCACCCATCGTCGACTCGAGGCATCAATGAACGATCACGCACGTGCGCGCGTACGCGCGAGCGGAGGGATCCCCGCCCCCGCGTTCTGCACGCATGTACAGTCGTGGACAGAACGGTGCGCAACACTTTTCTTTTTTCTTTTTTTTTCCAACGAGTTTAAGGACGCGCGTTTAGACTCGAAATGAGAACTACCGCCTTCGCTTATACACAACAGATATCGCCAAACTTCTTCTATAGAGAAACTATACAACGTGTGGCACAGTAATTCAAAGGCAGTGGTTTTCGTTTGGAATCTAAGTGGCTTGTGGCCAATCGGAAGACTTGCCGCTTTTAGAAGCGCCTTTGTCGACAAAAGGAGGCAGAATGCGCATCGAAATTCCTAAATTGATTTAAACAAAAAGTGTAACCATTCTGCCCGCAACTGTACGCGCGTGCCTATGTACAGAATCACCTATACAGCCTCGCAATAAGTTAGACGCGCCTTGAATCAGATATTTACACGGTGCCTCGTGAGGACGACAATGTACGACGGTGCCTATTTACAATTAAACTCGAGGCGAGTACGCCCCCGCCGTTCTAGCTTGGCACGGCGATAGCAGTGAGGGAAGCCTCACGGTATTACAGTCAACGATCACATTTTATGCGCCCTGACCTACCCACTTGCCTTGTAGTGATATCCCGTAGCGGGTCGGCGACGTTACTCGTCGCCGCGACCACGCGAGAACCTCTCGACGCGGTGGCTCTTGTTTTTTTTAATCCTAATATTTATCGATAATTCGAAATACCGATCAGGCGGCGCGGAACATCCTATCTGCGCTCGGCGCTGCGAAATATCGGTCGCGATCTCCGAAGCTGTCCCTCCAGGAGGAACCTGGGACTGGTCGGTGGCGCTTTTTCTCGCTCTCCGCTCCGATCCTATCACGGCCGATTAGAAAAACGTTCCGGAATCCTGCAGCGATGCGCCGCGATGCGCCGCGATACCAGAATAAGTATCGGCGATGAATTACCGCGCGGCGCTAAACTTATGCGCTCGGTTAGGCTTAACGTGCGCAATTAAAAGCGGCCTTTTTACTCGTCGACCATGCAATCGGTTAGCTTTGACGTAAGCTGTTGTGTGTTGTACCGGTGACGCCGAAAGAAATTCATTCGTACACTACTTGTAACGTCTCGAGGATGATTCATTTTTTTTTAATTAACAAAATAATTGAAACAACTAACTTTTAACTCGGTCCTTTTAAGATATAAATCAATTTGACACGCAAACGCCATTTTAGGACCTGGTACAGATGGAGGTGGCCAATTAAAAATAATTTGATTCGGACAATTTATGTGAAACTACAGACAATTTACGAATGTACATTCCAAAGATAGACAGCTTGTTTTTGCAAGAGATAGCGATGAATCATCCTTCTTTCAAAGAATCGAAACACGGTCCGTCTCCTTTGAGCTTATCTGATATCGAGGACACATCGAGTTAATACGTTTGTCTCGGCAAACGGGAGCGAACTTATCCAAATTTTTTAACCGTTAGATCGAGTTTATAACGAGAAGTCCAGAAGATCCTGGTCGATAACGACGCTGGTACTATATTTTTCTGCTTACATACCATTCACGGTCGATGCCGCCGTGGTCGAGTGACTCGTGTACAAGTTAATGAAGTCTCGATTCCCAGTTCGCTTGTTAATTCGTGCTCCCCGCGAGCGAGCTGTCTCGTTCTCGATACCCCGATAATTCGTCATTACCCGTGGACGTCCCGCGGTCTGTCGAAGGGAGAACGCGCCTCGTCGTTGTCCGAGGAACGGAGCGGCGATCTCTCAATCTGCATCTCTCCGGAGTCGACGGAGGAAGTTGAGACGAGGATCCAGGAACGTCCCTCAGAATTCCACAAAAACGAAGACGGCAATCCCAGTCTGAGTTGATTTCATAGCCTTTTGAAGGGACTCGAAGTTTTCGCCATCGTCGCTCGAATCTTCTTAACAGGATGGACTGGTTCGTCAGGCTTCTCAGCTCCTCACGGTGTTCCGCGATCTTCGAGGACTTTAAAGTCGTCGCGGCAACATGCAGGAAGACGCAGTGCAGAACAGGACACTGTTCTCCTTTTGGAGGAAGATCCGAATCTCCGGACTCGGACGTTCATTTGCGCTGCAACAGCTCGTAGAGCGCGGCGATGTAGGTCTGCGCCATTTGCAGTGTCTCGAATTTGCTGAGTTTCCTATCGTTACCCAGACTGGGTACGACGTCGCGCAGTCTGTCGAAGGCGTCGTTCAGGCTGTTCATCCTCCTTCGTTCTCTGGCGTTCGCCGCCAGTCTCCTTTTCCTCAGCACCTCGACACCGGGCGCGCTGCTCTTCATCTTCTGCACGGCCGCCTCCTTGGATTTCTGGTTAGCGTATTCCACCGGCAAAACGACGTGAAGACTGTCGTTCCTCGGATGGTACTTGGATTGATCACATTTGCTCGGCTGGCCACTCGGCAGGCTGGACTCGTTTCTCGGCACGGTATAAGTGACATAAGGGTGGCTCCTCTGAGCGTAACGGTGACTCTCGTTCCGCGGATGGTAGATACCGCTCTTCGCATAACCCTTGGTGGCGAAGACGGGCTGGCTCTGGCCGAAGTCGGTCCTCGAGTTCACGTATGTCCCGGCTGGAAGGTGGTCCATCTTCTGGGCATATCCCGCTGGATCCTGCTTATTCATGACACCCTCGTTGAAGGCCATCCGAGATGCAGCGTCATCATAAGCCACGCACTGTTCGTTCATCCTAAAGATCAGCTTGGTGTGAAGATCCGTGACGTTCCTGGCGCCGTCACCGTTCAACGTTGGCTGATGCTCGCTCCGGCAGCCGCCCTCCTGATAGTAACCCTCGTAAAAATCGCCGAAGTTGAAGCCGGCGGTCACGTGGAGGCTGCCATTGGGGGCGCCGCCACCGATCTCCTGGTATTCCTGCTGATGGTGACTGTCCACGGAGCTGACGCTGCCGCAGCTGCTGCCTCGGGACCGCGGCGGCTGCGGATAGATCTCTTGGTGATGCCAATTGCCGCGCGGATTCGATTCCGGGCTGCTTGCCGATCCGTAGCCCTCGGAGTCCAAGAGGTCGTATTGCTGGAAGGCCACGTAGGAGGTCATCCTCATGCGTGCACGTGTCGGATGATTGATCCCTGGCTGTCAGCAATCTTATATCATAACGTGCCCCTGGTCACGAGAGCTCTCAATCGATTGTTAATCGCCTTCACTGTAAAATTCGACGACGACTGACCGATCGATCGCTGCCGGTGCAAACGTTTGCCGAGACCGATCCAAAAATCGGATTCGAGATGCAGGGTGTAATAGTGTCGGGGATGTTTGGAGCTACGTCCGTCAGCTTTACCGTCAGGCTACTGTCTGAGGATCTCCGCCGAGTATGCTTCGTGTACGGAAGCGTTCCGTAAACTGCCTTTACCTGCCGATCTCGTGGTCTGGACCATGCCGCCCGGTTTTCTTGGGGCCCACTGGTGGGGAGAGCCGCGAGACCAAGTCCTGGAACCACGTGGAAGGGGATCTCCTCAAGAGTGGAAGGGGCCCACTGGGAAGTGGGCATCTCTTTGTAGAAGCCGCGCGACCAGACACGCCCCTAGTCTTCCTTCGTCTTCTCTTCGCTGGGGGCTCCTCTCCGGGCCCTCTAAGGAGTCAAAAGGCGATCGGGGCACGAAAAAGGAAAAGTCCGGCCGTGCGGCACGCACCGACCGGGCGCCGCGTTCTTGACATTGGAGAGCCACGGCCGCCGGCCACCAAGCCTACGATTTCATGTCCCCCGCGTTCACTTGTTGCGTTAATTGCATTTTATTTCTTCCCCATTCTTGCGCGAAACCCACGTGACATTCTAATTTCTCTCTAGAGAAAGGCAAGCATACGATTCACTTAGCATCGCGCGTTTCACTTTGTACATTATTTTTCTCCCCGTTGGTACATCATCTTCACTGAAGCTCGTGTAATCGTCGTCACTTTTTTAACAGTGATGCCTAATAGTAATGAGTCGTTAAATAAGACTAGGGGGAAAAAATGTAAATTTTTCTTGCGTAACACGCAATGGAAATTGATCCCCGTGACATTTTTAACTGTCAATGTATCACGTGTACAATGAACGCAGGTGTTATATTAATGGATGCGTGGCACGCATATGGAATACAATGCGTTTCGCAAGACAGGAGCGAAAATATAATTTCCTTGCGAAACTTTCCAGGTCGCTGATGTCAAACGTGAACCGGGGAAAGCGTTTGGCATGGTCTGAAATCTATTAACATTCGCCTGGAAATGATTTATAAATGGTAAAACTTTCTTGATTTGGGTCCTTATTAAGTTACGCAGGCGCGCGTAAAAATGGATGCGTCTAACTGACACTAATTGGTAGCGCAACCATTCTGCTAAAACCGAAGTATTGTGACGCGAGGTGAGGATATCGTGCAGAAATTAACGAGCGTTGACTAGAATTATTAATAGCGTTAAAACACGTTAAATCACCACCGAGTGTAAAATATCCCGGCCTCAAAATACATCGTGACATAACGCGCTGTGTCATCGGCAGGTGTGTGTTGGCAAAATATTTTCTCGCAGCTTTAATTGGTTCCACGTTTCCCTATTTATCTGAAGCCGTCAGCTCCTTTTCTGCGAGGCCCCTTGTCGTGCTTTACGAGACTTTAAATGGGGCCGGGAAGTGTGGACAACTCTCATCGTTTTATGAGCTTTCCAGCCCATATGCTGCTCCTTTTGAAACCGAAAGCCAGAATGAACAGCTTCCAAAATTACGAAAATCTGATGCAGTTAGTGGTAAACTTTATTGTCCCCCTATGGGCTCCAAGGTGCTTTTGTAGGGAGCGTACGGCAAACCCTTTAAAATCCTTGAAAATCTGATGTGATTCGCGATTCATCGTAGACATTTTAATAATTGTCAAATTTGTAAAATATTATTTCATACGTAAGGTAAACCAGGATTCATCATGGCCTATACAGAAAAGTTGACCATAGATTGCAATCTCTTTAATTATTACGGAACAATATGCTTCTGTAATTATTCTCAAAGGTAATCGGTATTTAGCGTAGCTTGTGTGCGTACGCTATTCGAAATACCGATATTGTGAATATCATACCGTATTTTTATGCTTAATTGCCTGCGAAATTTTCACAAAACGTGGGTTCACTACAAACTACCATAATCGTGTAGAACAAATTACAGCTAGGCTGTCGTAATCAACGTTAGACACACAACGAAGATATGTAAATTGCAATGTGATCTGCAATTTTTATTTTCGTTTTCACTATTTTTCTTTTTTTCTCTATCACGTAATACTGTGACCATCTTTTCTTTAAAAGTCTGGAAAGACGGCGAACGTTCGCGTAGCAATATTTTAATACAAATTAATATTTGTGATATTTAAAAACAAATATTTTACGAAGTATTCTTTTCTTCAATGCCGATAGCGTTACGTAAGTTAAGCCAGTGAGGTGATATGCCAAACACAATTAAAAGGGAATATAACAAAACGAAAAGTATGCACTTCAAAACGTACGGCTGTCGTACCTTTACCCTAATATTCACGTGCTGTGTTTGTAAAAAAAGATATTCCCAATATATCTTTTTGGACGTTGAAAGAAGTAACTTTAATCGTTACTAGCGTTAATCAAAATTGACAAAATTCATCGCGAGACTGTTAATTTTACCGCAGCGAGACGTTTCGTAAGGCGTGTTCACGTGTTCGATAAATAGCGTAAAGTAAATAACGAGCGATTGACGGCTTCGATCTCGCAATTGTCGATAATCAGGCTACATTGTGGTGCAGTTTAGCGCGTTTATGACACTGATTAAACGCACCGTCCCAAACGCATCGCGCACCACGGGTCGCGCCGTAAAAACATCTCTATTGACTGTTCCTATTCGAGGCGTCTATTTTTGCGACATCGGTGTGTAGTCGTAGTGGGCCCGTGCTTTACATTTCGTTTAGACGAGAGATCGATCACGGATCGTCATAACGCAATGAACAATCACACGACGCGCACACGCTAATAGCAGTGCGTCAGTAATCGAAGTTTATGTTTAGGCTTTACTTACAAACCATGATATAATACGAACGACAAATTTGAGTTTCGTTACACTATCGCGACGCTCGAATCGGCGCGGGGAACGTGCTATACTTAACCCGTCCGTCTCCGAAGAAGAAAACGGGGCTCTATGTTACTTTTCCCGAAAGGGAAACTCGAGCGCGGGGGCACCCGTAGGCGTATCTCCATTCGTTTTCCTTCGTTTGTCGGGAATTCGGAGTCATTCTCGCAAAAGGCGGCGGCCTCAAGAAGTTCATTATCCTCTACTAATACACACCAAATGAGCTGATCGGCGCTCGCCCGGTCCATAGAGGGGCCAAAGGGACGCTCGCGTCCCGATGAATCCGAAAGGTTTACGCCCACTGGCGGATTTTAATTTACCGAAAACGCTCTTTGCGGCTCGCGCAACAAGCTGTGAATCTTGGGAAAAATTTTTAATTAGCTCCCAACATTGACTTTACGTCTCCGAGATGGAAAACTTAACGCTAATTTCTAAATAATATAAGCAATAAAAGCGTGACACGCTCGAATCTGCGCGCGCCGATAACTTACGGTCTTGAAACACAGTTTCAAACTGAAGTCGAGATAGTAGAGGAAAGTCCCCTGTTATGAAATAGGCTTCTAATATGGGATAGCAGGTTTTCAACATTCCAAATTCAATCGCAAATCTCTTTTCGCAACGATTTCACGAGCCAGCAATGAATTTTTCGCTAAACAGATTTCACTCTGAGAGCAATAAATTCATGATGGAACCAACAGATGATGCCTATTAATTTTGCAGAAGAGCCCCGCTGTCCCATACCAGCAGCTTAATTATCTCATAATAGGGAACTTTCCTCTATATATATAATGAAATGAATCGTATTCTTAAATATCCTTCGACAGCCACAAAGAAAATGTATTGTAAAAAATACCATCCCAACCAGGATTCGAACCTCCTACTATCCGGGACGAGTGCACTCAGTACTAAATAACATTTCTAAATGGTATTTGTCCAAAAATTGACAATCTCAATTTAGGGGATAAACGCACAATTATTTCGGCATTCAGAAGCAAAATTGCCCAGCAACACAGTTACGTGTAATAAATGTTTAAAAAGGATTTTGCGTGGGACGTGTTTACCGCTGGACCTGGCCTTTATCTCGTCTCGCGCGAAGTTTACTTACGAGTATGAGACGCCTCGTAGCGGCAGCTCGTCGTAACACGACAGCAATTTAATTGTGTGAATATTCTGCCCAGTGGGCTTCGCCAAAACGCTGCTGTTTTGCCGATATACTATTTAGAAATACATTGTGCAAATACAATATTAATCTGACGAAAGGTCTCCATTTCTGAATACGTTGTTCGAAATATGTGCACATAATTCCAGCATTCCAAGTTTCATCCAAATTTTGTCTTGTAATTTTTAAAATACTTTCCCATCGGGGTGTCTTAACCATAGACGTATAATATATAGACTGCGCATTTTGGCTGCAGAAGTGTACAAACTTTAGAAAGGGACAACATACTTTGGACCTTATTCTCTCGCCGTCTATCAATATCTCGAGTGGGGCAAAAATTCATTATGGCTACTGTGCTTATCCTTAGAGACCGTGTAATCAGAGACTGGCCATAAAAGAGTTTGTCAAATTCCTGCGAGTGAGAGAGAAACATAGGCTATCTCACTATCGAACTCTCTCATAGCCAGTCTCTGATTGCAGGGTCTCTTACTTATCCTTTAACCTCTATCATTCCTCTATTCTTCTGTTGCCCCCACTACTTCGCTAGACAAAGATGAGGTACGGCCCAACGCCAGCTATCTCGTTCGAAAGTTTATGCATGTTTTCACACGGATGAGGTATGGAACGCGCAGTCTATTCTTACTACGTCTATGGTTTTAACCAATTCGAACACTGAAGCATGCGATAACGTTTATCACAAATATCAGTATGCGACGAGGAGAAACATCGTTACAGGCAACGTAGAAATAATAATAATACGTAATTAAAACTGACCGTTTTACATGAAAATAACATACGAGTAAGTTAGAAGCTTTACGGTCGGGCTGGATCTCA